AAACTTGCAGCTGGTGTGGGAACATTCAAAAAATAGGAGGGTCCGAGATGTACAAATGCCAAAATTGCGGAACTGTAGAATCGAGATCATGCAAGAAATAGTAGTAAATTAGTAATGCCTACAATTGATGTGTTACAATCCATCCGCAACATCTGCTCTGAATCTATAATAGGCATAATACTATTCACAAGCCACACAAGCCACACATTTTTGGTTGTGTCCCACATGATATCACACACAACTCCGAAAACGTTCACAAATAAAAATGTCATTGTAGAGTATGTTTCCGTTATGCTTTTTCACATCGTTTTTCGATAAATTTAATAATGATCAGGGCCTGTCCCTCCACATTAATACCTTTACCCACAAAAAATGCTTTGGACGGGACGCAACTTTTGTCCATGTACGCGTCTATTTACAATAAATACACGTCATACTTGGCGACATCCATTATCAAGTCCTCCAGTCACACAAAACCGACTTTATAATGCGTACCCTGCTCTAGATACAAGTTACATCAAACCGAAAACTTACTTTGGTCTGGGAACAACAGGTCACGTCGAATCGAAACACTATTCGCCCAAAAATAACGAAGTCATTGAATTCTTAAACAGCAACTTCCAATTTCCTCGGAAAACTGCCAATGCCGAAGAACTTGCAATACGCTGTCCCGCATGTCGACCCAGGAAAGGCACATACTACACAGCAAGAATAAGGACTGACAAAGGAACATTTAAATGCACTGAATGTGAAACGGTTGGGCTGTGGTATGAATATACGCGTCGATTTAATGATTCAGAACTGTCTAAATTGTTTAGTACTATTGAAAGTTTAGGCTTTCGAAGTAATTTTTCCAAACCAAAGGAAGAAATCGAGCGATATTCCACGCTAATGAAAGATTATCCCGAGATTATAAAGTGGTTCGAGAAATCAAAGGGTTTGACACAGGAAACATTGGAGGCCTTTAAGGTGGGCGTTGCAAAGTATCATAATATCGATCCTTCAAACTCATTACGTGAAGAATTCTGTATTACATTTCCGCGATCTGCGCCATACTACAACCGTGCTGATCAAATCGAACCGGATAATCAAATTGTGAGGATAAAGGCCTGGTCAACAGAAAGTGAAGAAACAATTGCCTTTGATCCACCAGGTACAGTCACAGGACTATTCGGATATCATTTGGTGCCACATCATGGAGAAGAAGTCATTCTGGCCGGAAGTGAATTTGATGCAATGGCTGCCTATCAAGAGACAAAGATTCCGTCTACGTGTCTTCCGCATAACTCTTATCAACTTTCTATTGAGGTTCTTCCGCTACTTGAAAGATTCTCCAAAATATATCTATGGTTTGATGATGATGTGGCTGGTCAAGATGCGGCAGAGAAATTTGCAGAGAAATTGGGCATAGAACGATGCTTGATTGTGAAAACATTGAATGGACAATTGGATGGACCTGTTAACGCGCAACAGGCTTTGGAAGCTGGAAAAGATCTCAAAGAGATTATTAAAAGCGCAAAGCCACTACAGCATGAGCAAATCATTGGATTTGAGTGTTTAAGAGATTCGGTATACCGTGAGCTTGTAAATCCAGATCAAGTTCAAGGGATCCAATCAATTGATTTACCAGGATTGAATCAAGTTCTGAAGGGTCATCGTCGCGGTGAACTGACTATATTTACTGGAACAACCGGGGTTGGGAAAACTACCGTTCTTAGTCAGCTCTCTCTAGACTATTGTAGATCAGGTGTAAACACGTTGTGGGGAAGTTTTGAAATTCCTAATGTAAGACTGGCCAAAAAGATGTTGCAGCAATTTGCAGGAAAGGCGTTAACCCTGGAGAAGATTAAAGAATTTCCGTTATGGGCTGAAAAATTTCAACAAGTGAGTTTATTTTGTATTAATGTTCGCTTGTGTGACTTTGCATAATACTTACCTGACTTCTGTTGGATATAAGCTGCCAATGTATTTTTTAAAATTCTTTGGCAGCACGGAACTGACAAAGGTCACTGACGCTATGGAGCATGCAATATATGCGTTTGACGTCCAACATATTATTATAGACAATTTACAATTTATGTTGGCAGAGCAAGCCAGGTATCATAATGATCGTTGGGAACTTCAAGATCGCACCGTTGGAACTTTTCGAAGGATTGCTACAGAACGAAACGTACATATAACATTAGTTGTTCATCCCAAAAAGGATGAAAGGGAATTCTTGGACCTTAACTCTATTTTTGGGTCGGCAAAAGTCACGCAAGAGGCTGATAACGTCATTATTCTACAGCGAAGGATCACAGAAAATGGCGAAATCAGATACCTGGATATCAAGAAGAATAGGTAAGTCTCTGTTTGGATTGATCCATCATTGTCCTTGCTGACTCATGTTTGATTATCAGATTTGATGGTACCTTGGCAGCAATTCCCTTTGAGTTTGACCATGAAAGTTTAAAGGTAAATCAACCTTCATATGATTTTTGAGCATATTAATACATTGCCTAACCTACATTTCAAACGTAGATCCGTCAACTCACAAAAGTAGATCATGACAGCCGCTTAAAGACAAGAAGAAAAGCTCATTAATAAATCCATGGACCTTCGGTCTGGTAAATTATAGACTAATACGACATCTAATACACGGCTTCTGCTGATCGCCGTATCCGTATACTAATTGTCAGATTCACGCCTTTTTGCATTAAAAAGGTTAATGTTAGCGTGTTTTGGCCAGTTATTTCACATACCCAAGCAGACTATGGTACAGGCAAATTAGTCTGCAATTTGCATTCGCTTATACATTATATCACAAGTAAATAGCTCCAACATATACAGTTCTCCAGAATCGCATGCAAAGTTAAGTGAAGGTTTGCGTTCTTTTATTAATAGGACTTACGATTGAACGCTGAAGATGTTCCCGCATTAAAAAGGACATTGAGTGACCATCGTTGCACGAGTTGGTCGATATAGATTTCTTTGCAGATCGCTTGCCGATCTTTGACAATAAGATAAATGTACAATATTTATCTATAATATCCCATACTCTAAAGTCATAATCAGGCTCACAATATTTTAGAGAGTCAGCAACATAAAAAAACAAACCTCAATACGAGGACATGCTTGTGAAATATTAACGTGAACCAGAGTAAAAAAAAGCAACAACAATAAAAGTAAGAGTTCAAAAAAGAAAGAGAGGTGTGGAAAAGAGAAAGGTCAAATTTGGCTTACTATGTTACAAATTAAGAAAGAATTGGTAATTATGCAACATTAAGTTTTCCGTGAATGTAGACAAGTTATGTTATTTACAATCGAGGCACGTTACAATGGAAAGTTGGGCACAATTTGGAATTACGCCCACCACACAACAACAGTTTTCTGTACAATTCGTGTTTTTTTGTACCGTTGGCGTTTTTATATATTAATAGTGTTTTTTTGAATAAATTTTCTATATAATTTGTTTTTTATTATGATTTAAAAATTTATAAAAACAAATTATATGGAAAAAACGACCATGAACGTTATTATAGCGTAAATGTTATAATTTTTGCTGAATTAATTATTATTATATTATTCCATACATAATTTACTCAAAAAACTGAGACATTAATAATGAATGTGTTGATTTATAGAATATATACTGAAAATGATGAAACATGTATTGTACGATGCAGTTATTATGAGCTGCTAACGCAACACCAATGTTCTCGTACAAGACGTTTTATGCGCTTCACACAAGTTACCCATTGTTGACCAACTATTTAAAATAACGCAATTATTATGAGCTGAAAATTTCCTATACATTTCCGTCATCTCGAAAATAAATATATCGACTTTGTCGATTTCCATTAATACCCGAAATTAGCAGTATTGGTGTAAGGTTTAACTTGGCTTTCACAATATAACGGGTTATATGACAGTATCATCTTTGGGCAATTTGCACAGTTAATTTCTAGTCGATAATTTGGACGACAATTTAATTTGTATCACTAGTCGACATTCTGTACATGACTGCGACCTCCAAAATAAGCACCCCTTATAGTGATGCTAATTTTCGGGCTAAATACGCCAAATACCAGCTGGGTTTCGATAGCAGCAATATCAGGTGCGCGTTAATGTCAATGTCACGTAATAAAAAAGTTGTGTCTCATACTGTAAATATAAATGCGATAACACTGGATTTAACATTACACAGATAGTCACATGTTTGTTTTTACTCCTATAGTCATACTCGACGACTCTTGTTTCTCGAACAATAGACATTCTCCTTATAATTGTTATGATTGTTATCGTCAATTGACTGATTGATTGATTTCTTCACCACACCTCCTTGCGATGGCATTCAAAAAGCTCGTGTCTGTGGAACACTAAATATAGTAAACAATCGGTTAAAGTTAAACCTGTGTCCGGTTCGACTTTAGAAATGATCTACAATCCTGCAGTCACATAAAGAAAGTGGTCTTCCCAAACAAAAAAAAACACTTTAGCAACTTTTAGATTTAGAATTTTAATATGGATTTATTTAGAGCAATCAAAAACAAGATCACCGGATCCACGAGGGAGTTTGTTAGAGAGCCTTTCACTGTTAGTACTCAGCATGTGCCTGCTAGTAAAATGACAGTGAGGTCCATAGATTGTGGAGGATTGGCAAAGGACTCTATCACGGAAGGTGTCTTTGCGAACTGGGCCAAGACCTCAGAGTGGTCGCGATTCGTATACATTTACAACAAAAGGTATATCGAAATACGCGACAGAGCCACTTTTGCCATTCTATATATAATCGATATACAACTATACAAACGGAATAACCAGGTCATTAGCATCTCTTAATAACAAGTTGGTTATTTATGACGGCTAGCGATTCAGCGTACAAACACATAGATCTGTGTTGGCTTAGTTAGCCGCCACCCAATTAATTGTGTTACAGACGTGGTCGTCTGCTTGTTAACCTTTAATGCTCTTTACTCAAACACTAACCGACATCTCTACTCTAATTACAGAGATTAAGCGAGATTGTGGCTGTCACGGATTGTGTTCTCGAAGGTCCATGTCTCTTAATTTGTACCATAACACGGGATAACGACTATACGTTCCTTCTTTTCGACATATGGGGGAAACTTGTAAGCGAGCTGAACATAGTCTTCCCTCCTGACCTAATGCCGCTCAATTCGATGATCATCTCGCAAGGCGTTTATCACTGTGTAAGCTAATTACTATGCCTTCGTTATTCATTTGTAATGTGACTAACAGACTTTTCCTAAATAGGAACAAGATACCAAATGGCTAAGAGAACAGGGGTACAATCCCGCTGACAGGTACTACTTGATCGTGTGCGCCACCGTTGGAGGAGTCGCCGTATGGCGATTGTTACCATCGCGAGACTCTGATGACGAGCATTGCCCGACATACACTATAGCTGTAAGAATCACAGTTGATTATTAATGAAAAACATTTGTCTGTGGGACCGACAACTAACAATGTTTGTTATTTAATAAACCCAGGAGAATCATCATACAGGATTAACCAATGGAAAAGCCGTAAGTTTGATCAAATCAATTGCAAACGTAATTCAATGACTTGTACTTACTTTCCAGTTATCATTTAGTGTACTGCCATAAGCATATCAACACCAACATCTCAAGAGCGTGGCAGGACAAATAAAGATACTGCCGCAAAGCAATATCCTTTAATCTTTGCAGGAAATGCTCATGGAGATGTAGAGATATTTGCATATTACCCTAGAGAGCCAATAGAATCTATTTTGTTTATTCCTACACCATCGGCTGGAGGTACTTATAATAGTTTGCCGACAAACCGCGTTTTTTGTGCATTCGAATTTATGAATTCGTCAATAACACTCGTTTTTACTAGCTCCAATAACCCACTTATGTTTCACCCCGGCATCCATACCAACAACGCATTTTTTCGGTACACTCGCTGTCGGACATTGCGGATCCAAAATTACCATACCACATCATGCTGCCGTTAATCCTGACGCCATGGATATTGCACCAACTGACGAAGACAATGTAGCAATTAATGAGGAGGAAGATAGTTATGATGTAATAAATTCCGACGCTTTCGAAGATACAAAGACAATGACCGCCTCTATTTCAAATGGCGCATCAAAAAGGAATTTACCGTTTGTGGTCGTATATGCTATCGGAGATTACAATTTTGATGAAATCGGCAACGTATCCGTAGGAGAAGATGGAGAAGATGGAGAGAATGGGGAAGTAACTGCTTTAGCGGCTGGAAAGATGGGGAAAGATCGCGATGAGTTTGTTGTGTTTGCTGCGGCGGTACAAGTAGAAGTAATGCAAGACAAGAGAATAAGGAACAAGAAAAAGTTGATTAGTGGAAGAGTGCAAGGAAATGATCTTCAATTCAGATTGACAGATGTTACAAATATTGGAGCCGTTGTATTGGTAAGTTAATAGAGAGTGTATTATGGATATAGGAAAAGGGCATGTTAGGATGACGGACAATTATTATATAGAAATTACTAACTTGCTGTTGGTCCATTTTTCGTCGTCGCATAGGATGTTGATGTCCCATCTAGTGACTCTAAATTATTCCTCTTGACCGAGGATCACATACACTACTATGATCGGGATCGCGAAATGGAGTTGATGACTACTATCGATTACGATACAGTAAGTACTTGATGTTTAGACTATGTTTACAAATTTCGTTTATGTCGCTAAAGTCGTATTTTATTTCGGTAGGTTCCTTACTTTGATGAATGGTTCGAAGGTTGGGTATACGAACCAGAAGTAATAAATGACATTAACGTACGACGAAGCAGGATGCAAAATGAGTTAATGTTTGATAAATTATTACAGCATGCACGGGTTCCGGGTGAGTTAAAAATCGAGTTGTCGTTTAACTCTATCATATGATTATTATGGAATGGCTAATAGGATTTGATGATTCAATATTTTATAGTCGAATTATATCCTCCACCAACTTCACAAGACCTTCGCACATTATTTGATTCCATTTTAGCAAGTCCGGTTTTGGGAGAACTACGACGACATTGTCTCGTATCCTTTTGCTTTAATTACGCTTGATGTTGAGTGCTGTAATAGATATTCATAGTATAGGTTCTGAGCTTCTTGGTCATCTATTAGATCTATTATCTGTTGAAGGATATCGAAAACTCTGGAAAAAGTCAAAAATATGCAGCTCGATTTTTAATTCCTCCTCAATGGCTGTGTCTAATGGATGGATATTGGTACTTAGATCATCACCAATTCGAGGTAAATCTAATCGACTGGCGTGGGATCGAAATTTACTTTAGTTGTGTATTAATCTTTTTTAAACCTACAGGAAGCGATTAGATTCCTAAGTGAGCCAGAAGTCACGGTTGACTATCCCAATGACATATTACAGACGCTTGTACAGAATGCTGGACCACGTATCGCCATTCTCTTTCTCAATATATCACACGAATGGTTTGATAAGGAAGATTTCCACACGAAAGAAATGGACATATTATGTCAGATTGATTTATGTGATGCGTTAATGTTTCAAGTAAGTATGAACAAATATGTATACAAAGAGAGTTTTGATGTGTAACTGACTAGATAATAATAATAGAGAGAGAGAATGCCGCCAAACAAGGAGATAACGGGGAACTCTTTGTTTCACCAATTACTTGACTATGTATTCTCTAGTAAGTAAATCCATCTCCCAGAAAGAGGAGGATAAGAACGAATGTGTTGTCATACTATCAATAATTGTCGTACTTACTTGGTCTAACTACTCTGATAAAAGATCCCAGACCCAAGCTCTTAAATCAATTGCTTGATCTTCCTTACAATGCCGCAGAAACAGAATATATAAGAAATTATTGCAAAAAGGAAAATCGCCTTGCAACCAAAGACTTTCTCGTTATGTTTGATCTTCATCACGGAAATCATGCCGCAGCAATCAGACTGCACGAGAAGATGGTTCGCGACATGTCAATACAAGGAGTACCAAAACATCTTGCCAAGAGAAGCAAAGTAATTGGAGAGATTAAAAATGTTTTGCCCCCTATTGAGTTGAAAGTCATGGAAGATGATGAAGAATTGGAAATAGTTGAACTTGAGGGAGATCGAAATGTCGAAGAGGAACTGCAATGTACGTATCCATGATTGTCTCTTATTGTAAATTATGATTATTGTTAAAACATGCTATACGCATTTACACACACATGCATGCGCATATGTATAACTCACCCAACTTCACTATTTACATTCAATTTTAGTGCCAACGCCGTCTTCACCAATCGAAACGCCTCCCCAAACGACTCCGCGACTACCCAACCACTCACCGTTTTCTCCCCGTTCAGAAACACAAAAAGGGCAGAAGACACCTTGCTCTCCATCAACGTCGATGACAATAACGCGAGAATCGTTACGTAAACGAGTGCCGAATAAACATCCGTATCCGACAACATCATCAAAATCAAGACATTCGAGATCAGCTACTCAGACCCCTGTCAGTACACCACGACGAGCGGCATCATCAAGCAAGATTAAAAATGCCGCAGGGACGCCTGGAGTAGAGCGAGAAACTAATGTTAATACGACACCTATTAATTCTATAGCGAGTGCAAAGTCATCATCTAGTGTCGATAGGAGAGTCACACGTAGTATGACTAAGGCTGGAATACAGTGATTTTTTTTTTTTGCGAATTCATTCCCCCCCCCCCCAATAATTTGTTCACGCGGTTTAGGCCACTTGTATATGATTGCTTATAATTTTATTATTTTTTAGAAAAAAGTAGCACTTAATAAAATTACAACACAGTACATACTCCTAATGCATGTCTAATCGTCTCACTTTATGTGTTCTCATTGTGAGAAAGACCAGGCTTGATAAATTAATCAAAATCGTCCATAAAAAGTCAAGCAGTCCCAGATATTAATATAGAAAAGAAATTAAGGATCGTTTCATTCTTATATTAATGTTAAGTAATTGTTATGGTACAATGGATCGATCATGCAGGCTTATACTGTCGCTGAATGTATCGATCATACTCTTTTTTTGTGTGTCCTTTATTAAGCACAGCTAAGGTGGACCTCTAGAGCTGTTTACTATAAAACCTCTTCTATCTTCGGTTTTGCACAAAAAATTTTTTTCTCATGAGACGACAAACGAGATTCCAGTTCTTCGCAAGAATTTCTTCGCGAGCGGTTGTAGATTATTCTGATAGTAGTGCCCATAAAGGTGCTAATTTTGCCGCCAAGGTCAAGAGAAGATTGTTTATGAAAATATGGTACCAAAACTTATCAAAATATAAACTGTACTACAAGTTGAAAATATGGACAAAAAGGTATGATGAAGGTTTATACATTCTATTAGACGATAAGCTGTCTGTATTTTCTGTGACCCAGACATTCACTTGCTGTTATTCATTTTCATTTGCACAAGCAGAGTTGCTGTCAACTTCTGCTTCGTCATTTAATCTTGAAGACACGAAAGCTTTAAATGTGATATTCGATGGCTCAGAAGATTCAAAGTGTGGTTCCTGGTCTCGATGATGTGAAATGTTAGTATCTTACCTTAATACCATAATCTTCATTGATAACGCGCACAGATTAATATTTGTTATCTTTTGCAGATACAGAAATTCCTACCATGTTACTTCTTCCTAACATCTCAAAAACGGATTTTGAATGGACGTAGATAATAATAAGATTGATCATCTCGATCTGTCTGATGATGCTAAATCCTTCTTTCATATGTCAAGAATGTTAAAGAACGCTCAACAACCAATTACGGACGATGAATTGGCCGCAGCAAGTCATGTGATAAATCAAATTCATGACGCAAAATTGGTGTTTGAGTTATATAAGCGACCGTTATCCCATCGTCTAGCTCTCATGTTGAAAAATGTTGTTATACTTGTATTCACGGAATTGTTCTTATCCACGGAATAAATAAACAAATTTTTAATTCCCTTTAAATTACTTTCTTTTGTCGAATTTATCGTAGTTATTATAACAACGGGACAATACTTGTTGCCTACAGTATTTCGAGGCTGTTGTGGTGATAAGATTGAGTAGCGGGTGAAAAACTAGTGAAAGTTTGTCCGTTTAATTAGTAAAGCAATCGCTTGAAAGCGTACAGTAATTGGATAGTATTTGGCGAACGACATTTATTTCTTTTATTCGTTTAATTAGTTATTAAATTAAAAGTGACGCAGATTTACTAGTCATTGAATAGTATAGTTACTAATATTATTTGTAATTCCCTTACTTGGATACGAACGTTGGACTACGTTACGTATGGGGATTAGGAAGCGCATAATTAATTAATAAGAAACGTCACTGTAGCTTAGCATTCAGTCTTAGTTGATACTGTCGCTGTAGTAAGGGCAGCGGTAGCTGAGCTAATTGAGTCAGATCCCCCTGTCGGCTGAACCAGTTTTTTTATTAAGGGTAGTAAATATTTCAACTTTTCTCGTCTACTTCGGCAACATTTGCAAAATGCTTTTTGGCGCCTACAGTTTGCTCTCCCACAAATCTCCCTAATTAAATGCGCCGACCGCAACAATACTGTTGTTATGACAATATTGCATAACCTGGGAATAACATGGCCACTAAACATCTCGTAAGTTACCCTTTTTATCTCCTAAAAAACAATCATCACTCTCTATCATAGTCATCCTCCTTTACTTTCTTTTAATACTAAAAAACGTAAAATCAAAGCTGGCCCAAAATTCATTATTGCAGCACACAATATCAGCATTATCATTGCAGAAGTATGTATAAATCATCATATACCCAGTTTTAACATATTTTCATGTCAGTTTAACTTTGCTACCATATTAATATTGTAATTTAGGATAAAAGAGTTGAACAATGCAAAGAGGGAGTTGAAGCATGTGAAGACTTGAATAATTTGTTTGATTGTAGAGGATATTAGTAAATCAGGTTTCAGTGCTTTTGAGGCTTTGAGGCCAGTATTAGTATATCTAGGTTTGCTGTGATTATGAGTCACTTTTCTTGAAAAGATTAATCAATATCAAGTACAAGGTAGTGATTATGATGCATTTAAGTTTCAGCATTAAGGCATTTAGCCCATAGGGGGGGGGGGTTCTGGTGAAATATTTGACTGAGGTGATGGGCTGCCCTGATGTCACATTCATTGTCAATATCTGGGTAGCCAATGCCCCCTGAGCTTACAGGAAGAGAGGCAAGTTTGCACAAGTACAAGGATAGATCTTCCTTTTTTCCCAGATAAAGTCAGCCACATTCATTTGAGCTTTTTTTGAGCTGTTGGTGGAGGAGGGGTGATGGAAGCTTGATAGCATACCATTGATAGTAGTAAGTATAAGGTTTTGCAGACCAGCACCCTACTTTGTAATGAGAGGCTACATGTATAGAGAGAGGCCACCCTTTTGGCTACTTTGATTATGAGGGGCTCCCAAAGGAGTTCTATGTTGTTTCAACCAATCCAATGAGAATGAGCACCAAGAATGCTGGTAAATAAATTATGTACATTATGGGACACAATGAATGAGACTGCTGGTTTAAGCAATGGAAGAAATCAAGATGTTTCAATTATGGACAGTTAGGACATATTCATGCACTATTATACAGCACAAGGGAAACTGTTATAATACATCGCGTGATATATGCGTTTAGAGTACTATTACTAATGGGACTTATAAAATCGATTGCATATATGCATTTAAAGGATGTATGCAATAATGATTAATATTAAGTCCGCGATATGTTTGTTGAAGTTGTAAGCGATCTTCGAAAGGAGAAAAAGATCAAGGTTATTTCAACCAAAGCGGTGGAAAATTATTATAATCAAACAACGAAACCCGACACCAGGACTATAGGAGCGATCAAAGCTTGGAT